CATCTCCTCGCCTCCTGCTGTTGGTCATACACCCGGTTACTACTCATCGACAGGACTACGCACTATTTCCCTCTGTGTATTGTTACTCTCATCATCACTGTACATAATAAATCACTGCTTGCACCGAAGTCGGCTACCTGGGTCCGCCTCTTTCTCGTTCGCTCACTGACAGGTGCGAACGGCACATAACAAAATGTTCCTGAATACTACCCATGTACCTTGAGATTGACTTAAGAATATGACACATTATACATACATACATACTATATTTGTTTTATTATGATCATGATGTATAACTTTATTACTCAAAACATGCAAAAAGCTTCTTTCCACTAGCACCCTATGTTAAAGTAAACTGAGAGTGGTAATCCCAAACTCTAAAGGCAGACAGTATTACAGTAACTGTGTGAGATATTGAGATAAAATGTGAACACCCCTAAATTATTAATAAAAATGTTAAATCGGTGACATGTGTATATAAAGGATATTGGATTTGTGGTTTTGGTGTTTAATGAGAACTATGCTTAGAGCATTTCATCCTGATTCTTCTTACCTATTCCAGTGTTTGTGTTTATTTTGAGATCATCAGGAACCATACTTACATTGAGAACATCATACAATTTCAGCTGGAAAGGGTACTTTATCCTCATCACCTGAGCATGTCAGCCTGGCCTCACCTCTTATTTGTTTCAGTAATGTGTTAGAAATCATAAATGATTTACTAATGTAGCCAACTAAGAAGGAATTTACAAGCTAAATAATCACAGCCTTCAGACTGACTAGATGTAGCATAAGGAAAATACTGGGCTTTTACCTAAACCCACAAAAATGTTAACACAAATAAGGAATAAAATGGACATGGATTATCACTGCAAAGTAGCAGGTTTGTGTTTTAACAAAAAAAGACATATTTGATATGATCCAAAACATACTAATGGAAATTTTAAGTTTACATTAATATATATTTGAAGAGAGAGTGTGATTATTTCACATATAGCAAGGCCAAGAACAAATATAGTACATTTTCGATAATTATTAACAATATATAGACAATGTGACATGAAATTACCCCCCATTGATGGCCTTATTAGTTGGGAAAGATTTGCTGTTTCCATCCAAATTATAAAGTGTTTGACATATATGTTTTCACTCATATGCAAATATTTGATTTTTTTATTTATTATTGTACCTCACACTATTGTAACCTATTCAGCTGGACAAGTTATTGGAAATGCATCTTTCACTGGAAGCCTAACATCACATTTCCCAGGCTGACAAACTTTATTATGTCATAGAATATTGCATTTTGTTGTATTTAAAATATTACCATAGGGTATAATTTTGTGTCATATTCAGATTTATGCCTCATTTGAATGATGGTAAATGTTATAATTTTCTCGTTCAGTTGATGACTTTGTTAAATCATATGGTTGATTAAATTCACAAGATGATGCTTCAGAGTCTGTTTCATGCCAATTAATTTCATTTTTACAGCTCTATCCTTTAGTTGTTTTTCCCCTTGTCTTGCATAGTGTAGAGTTATGTAATGGCCTCAATGTGAAGCAGGTCCCCAGAAGAAGAGCAATTTTGTGTCTTCCACAAAATCAGATATGATTTATGACTGTCCCTTATTTTGGCATGCTGTTTTCATTGAGATACAGCCAATAGCTTACATGCATCTCAATGCATGTTGAAGTTACAAATTTATACCATTTCCCCTAAAACACTTTCAAATCATGTAGCCTAAATTTATTTCCCTTCAATTTCGATGGCACCACTTTCTGGTAATTTTGTTGCATGAAAAGAGCAGGGAAACTAGGCCGCAAAGCTTTTGCCTTCCACAAATTCCAGTAGCCATTAATAAGACGGTGACACATGGTGACACAAAACTGCCCAGACTCTTCTGTTTTTGACAAGAAGCAGTTGCCATTTTTCATCTGAGTGTTCCTGCCATATTGCATAAAATGTTTTTTGTTGCATTTATATTACTGTGCTCGTTTATTTGAGGACGTCGTCGTTAATACCTTTTTTTCTTGATATGGTAACTGAATGCTGATAATGGTGAATGTTAACAGGCTGAATGTTTAGTGTTAACCAGGGTCACCGCCAAATGTTACTAATGGGTTAACAATGTTTTGGCTTATAAAACAAACCAAGAACTGCGTTTGGTTCCACGCTGCCTAATTTATATAACAGTTCGTTTAACTGGCTCCACTGAATGGGTCTCCCTTTGTCCCACAATATAAGAAACATTGCTTCTGTTATTTTTACGCTTTTCGGTTCAAGTTGTAAACAGGAAACAGCCCATTAAAGCTAAACACCTTCCGGTCTTTCTTAAGTTTTGTTTTATACTGACGCGCACGGTTAACTAGAAATGTGCACAGAGTGGGTAAGATACTGAAAACCTTTTGACTAATTTACAAATAGCAGCGGGGTTTAATGCTAGGACCGTAACCCTGAAGCCATTTCTGGTAGCTAATTGTTGTGTATAGGCTACGGAGACAGTATTAGCTTGTGTTAGTCTAGGCTAATGTTTGAAATGAATTAAAAATTACGCAGCGGGGAGTTTTAGACCCTATAATTTTATAGAAGGTGAGCATATGTGGCAGGCTATTTTCTTTTATTAGGCAACTTGCAAAACAAACAAAGTTTTGCTAAAAAGTACAATTAGTCCCCTTCCACTTTCCAAACCCCTTGACTCTGAACTCAGGCATTTTATTGATCATATGCATCGGAGTCAGATTTTGATTGACAGCGAGTTGTGCTTGCACGCGCTGTCTTCTGTTGTCGGTGTCACATCAGCTGACTCAGCAGGCTTTGTGGGGAGGTCGGTGCTGTCTGTTGCCTGAACTGCCCGCTGCCATGAGCATGGCAAAAGGTATTTCTACGGTGTGCTGTAGCTGGAAACAGTCTGGAAACAAGGCCAACTTTTTTGTATGAGCTTCACGCTTCATTCCAAGTGTTTGGGTGAGTCCCATTGCACAAATGGTCAGGTTCTAACACTCTAGGCTATGGCACTGGCAGAAAATAAATCAGAAGAGACGGCCAATTTGTCTAAACAAAGACATAGCCTAAGTATTTACCAGCAAAATGACCAGGGAATGGAGAGGACTATAGCGCACCTCATCCACCTCTGCTCTCTCAGCGCGCTTGTCTTGGCCCAGTCTAATGCTAATGACTTATTGTCTCCCTCCATTCGGTTTTGCTTTAATATGTGTTGCTATTATAATGGCAAACCAAACCGAGTTACTTAAACAATGCCGAGAAGAGTTAATAGAAAGTCTTAGAAGGTCAAGGGCATTCATTGTGGAAGCTACGTGGCATTTCTTTTATTTGATAAAACAAACTCTTCTTGCGCCATGGATTGTTCAGTAGGTCTGACTTTGTGGGAAGAGAGAAGAAGACTTACAGACGGGTGTTTATTAATTATATGAACAGTTCAAATAAAAAACTGGAATAATAAATTGCCATAAGAGTGTTTGGAGCTCTGAGCTTAGTTGTCGTTTTGCGCCCTTTTCCACCGGGCGTGTCTTTTCCACATGTACCATCTGAAGGAGTTGTGGGCGTTACAGCCATTCTCCTCGCTGTAAGGTGCCATCGTTCCAGTGCTGTTCCGTGTTGAATGGAGAGACACTTTATGACTTCTCTGCCAAAGCAGCGGAAGAAAACTCTGAGATACTGTAAAAGATCGGATGGACAGGTTTGGCGTCTTGCAGCAGTTGGTGTAACTGGGTAGCCTTTGTTATCGTTTTCAGCTTAATAAAATACTGAACCATAAGGGGTAGGACTACACAGTACTACACCAAAAAATAGGCTATGGTTTTCTTTAAAAAAAAGTTTTTCTTTGTACTTTATTTCATTTTCATTCTTAAATTAGTCAGATGAGAAATTTCAAAATATATTAATAAAAACAACACTGGGCATTAAACCCGTTTGACGTGCACAAGAAGATCTGGACTTTTGCATTAGTTGTTTGAGGCTCAAAAATGCCGATTTCGAAAGGTTAATTTTCTTTGGGCTTGACAGCATGATCATCTTCAGCACAAACCCAGTTTAGCTTTTTAGGCCTATATCACATGTAGACTACCCACAATCAGCCATGTTTTAACTGTCCATCCGTCTTTTATGACGTCGAAAAACCAGATCTAGATCAGCCGTGATCTACACGTTTTATACAACCCCTTATAACTTTAGGGTAAGATTAAGACCTACTGTAGGCCTATAGTTTACCAAGTTTTATTAAACAAGACAACATATTTATTTAGCCAGTTTATTAAGAAAATAAAACAAACAGTATAAGCTATACGAATAATAGCACATTGTAGAAGTCTGCACAGTGTAATTATAAAAATTCAATTAAGATATTTACTTTACATTAGCTTTACCAAGGCCGCCAGACGTTGTGTTGAGTGTTTGCAACTTCGCTGTGACTTGCAGAATCCAGCGTCTTGCAGCTGGAACTTTGGCGACTATTCTGTACGGGCGCTGCATCATGGGCAGCCCACTGGGCTCCAAGTGACTGCTGTGCGCCTTCACTCGGTAGAAGACGAGCCGTGCTTGTACTGTGGAGTTTCCGCTTCTTAGCTCTGGCCGTTTTTCTCTCCTCAGGTCCGGGTGCCGTTGGCGGAGGTCTCCGCGCCTCATCCGAAGCTTCAGCTTGTCCTGGGCAGCTGTCCATGGTGCTGGAGGATTCACCTCCTCCTAAAGAGCGGCAGAGTTTACTAGAAAGCTGCGATAACATCCAGCGGTCGCTTCCATTCAAGTTGTCTGCCATCAGCAAGTATTGGTTGACGTTTGCCAGGCAACCGCGGAAGCCACATTGGTAATCGGAAAACTCAGAAGCAGAAGCTGTGCCTGAAAGCAATGGAATGGCATTTTAAGGTGAGCGACATACGTGCATAGGGTTTTGCATAAAGCTGAACTCGAATCATTCATAGAATCATTTTAAATAACCTGCGCTCCTCAATGGCCTATTTAATGACTTAGTTTATAGCATACTTTCAGAGTAATGTTATAACTCACATCTCTGAATTTTTTGGAGGTTCCGTAGATGTTTCACAGTGAGCTCCAAGATGTCGGCCTTTTCCAGTTTTCTTTTTCGAATCTGAGTAAAAAGATGGCACAATTTAAACATTGTTCTTTGAATTGCTATAATAATTTCATACTTGTATAAGCTGCAACAACTGGTCTCACAATCTGTGTTCTTAAGGTACAGCCTGCACACTTACACTGCTGCTGTAGTAGCTCTCCAAAAGCGATTTTAACTGGTCCAAACACTTGTTTATGCGAGCTCTACGTTTCTTTTCCATCAGTGGTTTGGATACCTACCAAAAACAAAAAAAGTTTAAATAGCCTAGAACACACTTCAATAATTTTGTGGAAGTTTCTACTTTGAATCCAAGTTCCTCTTAATAAGTTATTTTACACACCTTGTTTCCAGCAAAGGATCTGGATTTTTCTATGCAGTCTGTCGTCGCCACCATTCTGATTTCTGGTTTTCTTGAAGTTGACCCCTTTCCTTGTCTTGAGAACGAATGCAGGGGCTGGTCCCGATTTATATAGAGACACTCACTTAACATCTCAATGCAAACAATCCCGCCTGTCTCTTGCGCTCAAATGAGCAACACTGACGTCATTTGACAGCCAAAACCAACCCGAGGATCAAGATACTCGTCACATAAAATTGAATAATTGGCTGTTTTATCATTTCTATCCGTCCTCATTTTTTTTACATTACAAATCTCACGTATGTCTTCTGATGTTAATTTTAGTCATTAACAGACTGTTCATTCCAGGCCATGCAGACTGCGGAGGAATAGTCAGACAAAAATTTAGTGGTAACATCTCTTCTGTCTGTCAGTTGTTCACTGCATGGTTTAAAAAACAAAATATATAGAGACCACAAACCACAGGGTAGGTGCATTATAAACAGTAACTTATAATGCATGATGCTTAGGCCTGGATTATGTGCAAATAACCCAAGAAACAACGTGTGGGGTCGGAAGAAAGCGTAAAATCATAAACAGTATCGTAATGGTTCTACTTGGTGAGTAGTGTGGCCGTTGTTGACACCTTTATTCAGTCTTTAAAATGAGTTTCACGCCACTCGGTCGAAGGCAGCACCGTGGTAATTCCCTGCGTGTCCCCACAACATTTCGATTTTCTGGTAGTAAAACTATTAGACCTGCACGGAGTTATCAGGTACTTTTTAAAGACAGAAGCAGCAGCTATAGCCTACTTTAGTTATACACATAAAATACCAAGCAAACGCCTGAGCATGTAAAACATACGACAGTTTAAAAAATTGTTAACTTTTAACGATTCTTTGGGTATTGTGCGTCTCCAGTTTTTGTCTTCATACCCGGAGCGGTGGGGCACCGAGGAGAATCGCGGGCCGCCCCTTGTTCTTGGTCCCTCGCCTCCCGATTTTCCACACTGCTCCATGAAAGGGGCAAAGGCTTGGGAAAGTCATACCAGCTGAAACAATGTATTGACTATAGGTTGACTGCAGGCCACTGCGCATCTTGTGCTCACACACAAATACTAAATGGGAGTGATTTTAAGTTCTAGACACCCACTTGTGGAATACTCTGCGAGTGATTTTAAGTTCTAGACACCCACTGGTGGAATACTGGGTAAAGCTGTTGAGGGTATCCAGTTAACCTTATACATTCCTATTCGTGTTCTCTCGAGTTTTTCCAGATTTTAGATGCATTTTGAAAGACACGCGACAACAAGAAATCCTGTTTTAACACTGCTCAAGTCTACAAGTCTGATACGGTACACAGTGCGTGTGTTAAGATGACTGAGGGCCTGGGTAGAGGAGGGGCATCTGTATTCAGTAGAGCGCATGAAAAGAAGCCACTTTATGGCAGTGAGCCATTGATCTTTTCTTTTCCTCTGCTTTGTGACCACAAACGTGTGGGCATCAAAAGATCCTGTTCGAACTAGTGTGGCTCTTCTCCTCATTCCGTTTTGACATAGATAAAGAAACCTTAATGTACATTCTTCTTTACCAACTTAAAGCTTTCAAATAGTAATACATTTGTTTTCAAATGGTAGGTCCAAGTTTTGAATCCACCAACTCACGTCGCTTTGTTTGTAGCTCACTTCTCATCATGCTGAAACCCAATTATTGCATGGCCTTGCAGAACTAAACCAAAACCAAACAAAAGAGCACAAGCATGTAAACCGTTCGTCAAAAGATACTAAATGCGTAAAATGTACCGAAACATTGTGGGCCACAACTGTGGTGCTACTGAAGCATTTAATCGGTATGAAATTTGGCCGAGGTGTTCTGATGTAAGTGAGCTTTCTGGTGTCTTTTGTCCTCTCTGGACACCATTATCTGCGTTTTCACGCTTGGTTTTAACACAAGACCGTGGACTCTTGACTTCAGCATGGAGTCAGAACATCACAACAGCCGCCTGTCTTATCATTCTGTGTCAAAGAGGAGAGTTTTCACCGCTGAACACTATAATAACGCTATAATTAGTGTTGGCTCTCCTCTTTCGGGATAAAAAGAGAACGGAGATTTGGGAAATGAAAGAAGGGTCAACTGTTTCCCTGCAATACCACCTCACTCCGTCGTTATGTCAGGGTTTATCCATAAGAATAGCGCAACGAGGAGCTTGTGTCCCAACTGGACATTATAATGCAAGTGTCATTAAATAACAAGTTAAGTGTATGTTTATAAAAGGACTCGGGCTTTCGCTGCACTTTCACTTTTCAGCCGCAGGTCATTCATTAACCCTATCGGACCTTTGTCATGGATGCCTGCCGGCGGGGACCTAACACTGCGGCTGTAATAATTGGACTATTGGAGAACTTGTTAACAACAATTAGTGAAGCAATTGTGCAATTACTGCAATAAACTGTTTTCTTCTTTGAGGGAAACAGAGACATTTGCAAGCCAATGGTTAGACCTACCAAACGGTGGAGGCAGCAAATGTTAGGCTATCTCCATTTTCCATTTAGACTGGCTACCTCTGAAGGAAACGTTATACAGTGGCCTTATGTTTAATTATATAAAGCTACGAATAACTAGATAAGAAAGTATTGTTTTAGAATTGTATAATTGTATATTAGTTAAATCTACTGCTATAATCTCACCTCACTGGCTGCAAAACTATGTAATACAAAACCATATGCATTCCAGTGACATCAGCTAATGCCCAAGATTTGAATTGGCCTATGTTGTAGGTTGCTGGCCATTCTATTGTGTGGGAAATAGTTTAAAATGAGAGATGTGGCACAGAATGACTCCCGTATGCCTATATTATAAATGGAAAGGATAAGTATTATATTCCATATCTGGATGTCTTAGCAGAAAGCTGTTAGATATGCAAGCACAAGCCCATAATTTGGCGCACCGGGAGCAGAGCAAATCGGCGTGCCGCCTTCTATTCAGATGGACCTGAGGCAGCACTGGTGTGACCAAAACGCTTATTGTGGGTAACAAGGTCGCAGTAAAAGGAGCCGGTACTCGGACAGGTGCACTGGAAAAATATTAGAAATATAAACAGGGTTCCTTGCAAAAGCCACGCGACGGACCTGTTGACGAAGCTCCGATCAAACATCAAATAGAAAAAGCATCATGAATTTCTATAGACTGGTCCTCGGGTTTATTTAAAGACTCCTTACTTTGGTTTAGGAACACAATGGCCGCTGTTTGACTGTGTGTGCCAGGGTTACCGCATGAAAAGACCAGAGGTGCACATTAACATCGCTTAAGGTTTTCTCAAGGGTCGAAATGAACTGAGTGGAAAGTAACTTTATAAGTCGCTGGAGGATGAAGCCTTTGTCGAGCCCTGAACTGAAAGACAAGTGCCTAACAAAAGCAAAGCGCCATTGTTATCCATTATAGCGCACGGGCATTGATGCGCCTTGAATTGCAAAACATCTGCCATTTAGTCTGAACCACTTGAGCGAGATTTGAATGAGAATAACTAAGCACCCTTTAGTGCAGTCTTTAGCCGTGCGTAAAACAAGTTACAGTACCAGCAATATGACCAAGGTGGAAATTAAGCGTTTATCTTGAGATTAAAAGCACATCAAAAACAAACACAAGGAAATTGTTCTGTTTCTTCTCTGCGTTGCAGTCTATGAACAGCCTCCTCTTTTAAATGTAGTCACCTTCACGCCATTTAGGTTTCTTTTTGACGGATTTATGACATTGTCTTGTTGGTGATACGCACAAATGTCAGATTCTAGGAATAAGTCAGTAGCATAGTTTTAAACAACAGCACATGGACTAAAAATTAACTCCAAAAGGGGCCCGACTGTACTGACAGTGAGGAGATGTAAAACTATTATAGTCCACTCAAACGTAAATTCATTTGGTCATTGTTTTCTATGTTAATTATCAAATCTATTGATAAGGATATAACCAACAATGTTTTGGTTGTGTTTCAAATAAATTGCGCCAAATTATTTTATCGAATGGAGGCTATCTAAAGTGTTTGGAAATGGGAGGCCAGACAGGCAGGGACCTGCAGTTTATAAAATAAATAAATAAATAAATAAAATAAAAATTTAAGGTATATCCCATATGGGCACCGACCGCAAATGGCCTCTTCTTAAAGTGTATTTTGTTTTGCTGTGGGTGCGAAAGGAAGGACCAGTTGCCAGTCCTTTTCCCAGGGTTTTCCCTTTATCTGACCAAAGTGGACATTGAAAGGTGAAAAGCCATGGGGCGTTCCTCCGATTTTCCTCGCTCCATATTTCCTAAAACAGAAATGTGTCCCCGCAGTTAGAGCCTTGAACAAGATCCATTTTTAAAAATATTTCATCAAGGCGCGTTAAAGTTACAAAGTCTCAGCAATTTATCAAAGTTATGGTAGTAATTAGATTAGCCTAACTGAAAATGTAAACTATCACCCTGCGTCTTTTGGGTTTTTATAATCACCCCCAACTAACACAGTAGCAAGTCACGCATATCTTAAATGCCTCAAAAATAAAAGAACAGGCCTACGCCAAAGTTGTGCATGACAACGTGTGTGGCGAATGTAACTCTGCAATTGGTATGAAATTGTCAATTTGTTGGTGTCAGCGTTCAGCCCTTCAAACGCACCATATGCCATGCTAAGTGGCACTATTTACCAATTCGTTCCTAGTGTCACGGTCCATCCTCCCCTTCTTCTTGCCAGGACGCTGAATAGCCGCAACAAAATGGCAATTTACCCTCTGGAACTGTCACATAGAGGTCTCCCGTGGACCCTGTGGGAAGACGCTTTGCGTGGGGCACCCCAGCGAGTGCCACGGCGTGAAACCGACTTTCACATGTGTCTTCGGGTAGGCCAAGAGCTCGGCGTTACGACTGACTCTCTATTTAGGCGCTAACCTGTTCGTGTACGTTGTCTATTTTATCACATTATGCCCCAGGATATTACATTTCATACAAAAGTATGTGTAGCCTATATTTTGAATAGTGTATTAGGCTATCGGTCGAATATGCTATGGTTATTTATATATATTTGTGTGCTCAAATAGTGTTATTTACGACATGTGATTGCGCCATAAGGCAGTTTGGTATAGAAAATATAACAGTATGTCAGACGCTGACTTTGGTGAGTACTGAAAATGCAGGATTACAGTATACTGTAGGTGGAACTGTTGACTAGCTTCACAGTCAAGTGGCGCCACCATGTGGTGAGAATTGTGCTGCAGCAACTTCAAAACCCAACCACGGGGAACACACAATCTACTGTGAGGTTGATCGAGTTGCTCTTAATGTTATAAAGCTGATGTCACAATCAGAACAAGGTAAAATTCCAAATTACCAACTACAGATATCAATTATATATATAAAGAGTACTTAAAACTTTAACAAAGGCGTCTGTTGCCAGTCTTTTCTGAAATTATGTTGTCTTATTTTTTAGCTCATTTCGGCACTGGTCTTGTTGATACATTTCACAATAAATTCCTCATGAAAACAGTCATAGATATCAATGAAGGCATAAGCTGAACCACTGAAAGGAAAAAAGTCAGTGAGACAGATATTTTAATAATATGTTTACAAAAAGCCATATTACTAACATTGCATTTCCAATATTAAGATGGCTTGAGGTGCATCAGCTAAAAGAGTTGAGATGCACATGTAAAGCATCTACAGTACTTGGTAGCAAATATGATCCAAGTGAGGGTCAGTGGGAGCAGGCAGAAAATTACTGCTTCGGCCTTATTGTAATTTTTCTGGAGGTCTTCCACGTTTAGACAAAATGAAGCAATAGGTGGATAACAAAGAATAAAATTACAGAACCAGCGGTTTCCTTGAGACGAATGTCACAGCTAAATATTATGAATATTATTTTGGGTACCAAAATATTTCATTGTATGGCTTGAGGGGTCCATAACAACAGTTGATAAGAGGTTAAGAGTACCTGAGTACTAAATGCTCCTAAGCAATTAATTTGACTACTAATGTTATTACTGTTAATATTTAATTTTGTCTTTTTAAATAGTTTAATCTCAGCATTCTCTGAGATGTATTACAAAAAGCTGGGACAGTGCACTGAGCAAATAGAAAAGTTGACAGAGAAGCAAGAAAAACATCTGAAGTAGTGCAGCTGGGAGAATAAATCTGGTAATCCTTTTAAACAAATTTACTCCATGTGACAGGTTTAGAATGGCTATGAACTATTAGCGTGTTAAAGACAGATTCCCTTTGCTACAGCAGTTGGCATACTTTCCTCTATACAGATGCAGGCAGTCAAAGCGCCAAACGTTTTAACCACATTATGTCTGCAGTGCTGGCAGTGGTGTTGTCAGTAATGCAATGTTTTTAACCTTGCAGCAGGTTTATAAAATCCATCCTGCAGTTCTTCAACGCCCTATGCACATACTACTATGCACAAACAGCATAGTAGACTAATGAATTATCTGACGGTATTGCTTATACAGGCACTGCTCCAGATAAATAATTATAATCTGTTACACCGCACCCAGGTTTCTATTTTATAGCCTGTACCTTGCTCTGGTTTCAAGGAACTATTGTTTTAAAGAAGAAGTAAGACAAAATAGTTTTTAGACACCTGCCAAGGAATGAAACTATATTTTGAACATTTATTTAGTTGGACATTTTTAAAATGCTGACTCATTTTCTTCTTCATGGTGCAAAAAATAAAAACAAATTGACAAATTGGTACATTATATGGAGAATAATCTAGAAACACACAGTAGGTCTAGTTTGTCACATAATAAAATAATCACATTCAAAGGAAACTCTTTTGCAATCTAGTAAGCTTATTAAAATACTAATACACAAATCACATCATATTATGTTGCTCAGTCAAAAGGAACAGGAAACTACAATGTTCTTTAAAAAGGTTTATAACCTATTTCTAAATTGAAACCAGGATGTGTTAAGGCATTAAATAAAATAAAAAAAAATCTGTTGCCTCTGCAGCAGTTTTTTTTTAAATTCAGATGGTGACCAATTCTGGCAGATTGTTTAGCACAGTCTTCCTTCCACTCACACAAGAGTTACTGCATGCATGATGCTCAGCATGAAGTTATATGCCACCAGGTACAGAACAGGTTTTACAATATCAAAAGAGTCAGAAGCAAATGACATAAATTTAACCCAGTACTTCTGGTTTATGCTTAAAGTTCACTTTCTCTAACAAATGATCCCTACAGGGTGAACATGGAATCCCACAGCTCATTTGAAAGAGGTAGATTTGCAATGACTCAACTGATGAAAGTGACAAGCGGCCAGGACTCTCACCAGAATTTGAATTCAGGCAACATCCGGGTGGAAGGACGGAACTACTCGTTCTGCTTGGTTTGAAGGGATGGGCCCTCAAAGTGAGGCAGATTACATGAAGTAAATAAGAGGAGAGGTGAATCAACTATGAGCTATAACCATTTAACTATTGTTGAAGTTATATTTGTACAAACATGTGTACACACACACACCAAAACTGAAAATATGACAAGATTTATACAAAAACCTTAGTTTTTGTCATAATAAAATGCCCACAGTGGAAGATATAGCCCCAAACTGTACCAACAGAGGCTTTCCTCCAGTACTGTTTTAGGGATAAGTAGTATTTATAACATCTGCACAGTTAAATAAATTAAGCTGACCAAGGGATAAAGTGCTAGAGTCCACTATTAAAATTAAGAATTTTGAGGGAATGTTTCTCAGTGCATTTCAGCTAATTTCAAGATTTTGTCTAATACATATCCATTTATACCTCAAAAGATGAAAAATGGTAATATATGATCAAATGTCATATTGCATTATATTACATTATTTCTCCAGGAAGAGACAGACAGAGACAACAATTTAAAGATTGTGCTGTTTTTTAACTGTTTTTTAAACTGTATATTCTAAAAGGCCAAATAAGTAGAATTGCTTTGAAAATATTCAGAAGGCCTGAAGCACATCAGTTGTTCTTTCACACAAATGTACTGAAGGCATCTACTGGCTAATTGTTTTAGTGTAATTCTGAATGAGACCTTGGAAGTACTGCTGTGTGTTCTTGTGGGGTTGAAAAATGATGATGTAACATTTTGGAAGGAAATACCAAAAGAGAAAGGAGTAAAGACTGGAGAGTACTGCCAGAGCATTAATAGTTTGAATGTGCTTGCCACGGTAAAGCATGTACACAGCAGCAAAGATGATCCAGGTGATGATCAGGAGGAGCAGGCAGAAGGTTATTGCTTTGGCTTCATTGTAATTTTTGGGGAGGTCTTTCCCCATGTAGGAAAAAATAAAGCAAAGGGAGCACAAACAAGAAAGTAAAATCATAGAACTTGCAGTTTCATTAATATTAATGTCACAAGAAAGTATGATTTCATTTGGGTACCACAGTGTTTCATTGTAGGGCCCTGGGGGTGCATAACTATAGCCAATAAGAAGAAAGAGTGCCTGAGTAACAAATGCCCCAGCGATGACCAGCCATTGTCCGTTATATTTCATCCACCATCTGTAGAACTGTGGGAACTTGTTGGACATTTTGAAAACACAAACGATTTGAAAAGAGCGCACAACAAAACATGCTAGACAGACAGTATAGAACAAGATAAACGGAAAGAACCTTAGGATACAAAATGAAGTTGTTGGCTTACCAAAGTAAAAGAACACACTAACACTGCATAAATTAAGGCAGCCTAAAATTAGGAAGCACATTGGTCCCCCAGCAGATCTGACAACAGGGGTGTTGTAGTTGATGGCAAAGAGAACAGCCATAGCTAGTATGAGGCCTACCAAGACACAGGTCCAAACCATGATCAGGACAGACTCCATGGCTGTGAAGGGAATGTACTCCACCGACCGCAGACTGCACGATGTACTGCCTTCTTCAGACCATTCTGTCTCCTTACAGTTGTTGCACTTGTAGGGATCCTCTGTTGAGCATGAGATAGGGACAGTTTGTCAGTAAAGTTGAGGTTAACTTCTGAAAAGACAGATGAGGATGTAGTGTCTTTTTGTACTCTGTTTTGGATGATGTTTTTAGAATTTTTTTTGTATTAAAATTGTCTTAGAGGTCTTAGATATTAACAAGACAGTGTTGCTCCCACCAAGGCAGGAATGGCAGTGCTGCTTTTATTAATTGTCTTGTTTTGATGTAATTTACCTGTTTCATTTACATAGGTTCCATTTGGACAGATGTCACAAGTGAAGCAGCATTTGTCGCTTTTATCTCTTATGTATCCTATGGGACAATCCTCGGAACATAGTGAAGTAGGCACCTGTACAACACAGTTGTTTAGCAGAAAAGTAAATAGAGGAAAGAAAACAGTTTAGGATTGAGAAGAAGGTGGAAGTCACTACAATTATACAGCTGTTCTATTTCTTGACAGGTTTTATACAATGTGAACATGCTATAAGACAATATATTACACAAAATACATCTATCTGGATGGAGGGGGAAACAAAACAAGGCATTTAAATCAACATAAAAGTCTTGATATATTGTACTATAATAGAAAGAAAAAAGACAGCTTACATTTCCCTCGGTGTACCACTGAATTTCAGTGCCATTGATGAAACAGTCAACTGATGAGTGAACATTACAAAAGCCGATTTCCTGTGCACCACCACTGTGGTTCCAGAAAACTACTGAGTAGGATCCAAAGAGGGGATTACCATCCTCATCAAACTGAATACTCTGGTTTAAAAGCGTAAAGTTTGTGTTCCTCAGCTCTTTGAGGACC